TCTGAGTGTTTACTGTCTATTGATAAGAGGAGCTACTAAATGCCAGTGTAATAACTTCGATTATTAGGAATATGCTTTATGGAAATCACAGTCAATTTTGGGAAAGCATAAACATATAATCAGAGTGGTTTTAGAGTAAAAGTCAAAGTAGCTTTCACACTTTTGTAATAATTTTTTTGAGTGAAGCACCACAATGCGCATGACTAGTTTTGATAATCAAACTGTTAGGATCGCTCGACACAATAATGAGCGAGCAGTAAAGAACGGACCCAGGCGGCTGGCTTCGGTGCAATAGGTGGCTTTATTTACAATGTGGACACAGGGGTGCAATACTATATACAACAAACAAGAACGAATGAATGAATGAACAAATATCACCGGGTGATGACCAGCATTAGTGAAGGGGTTTTTGTCCATGAAGTGATGAGGTTGGGCGGCGAGGAAAAGCGACACTCCTGAACTGGTCAAGGTGGTGATCCGGGTGACTGAGGAGTAGCAGAGAGTAGTATCAATGAGGAGACTGTGCATCGACCTGTGGAAGAGGTTGGTGGAGCTGAGGGAGCCAAGGTCCAAAGGAGAGGTCCAGGATAATGTGACAGGAGACGCTAGGACTTTAAGAAACAAAACGTGGAAACGGGAGACAAAAGATATAATCTGATATGAAACGCAGGCTAACAACATAGAAAGAACCAGCAAGGGAGTGAAGGAAAAGCCGAGTATAAATAGGGAGTGACAAAGGAGGCGCAGCTGAAGAGTGTCAGAAAATCAGGACAGGTGTGTTCAATCAAGAGAATCAGTGAGAAGGAGCAGACTAGAGCGAGAAGGAGAGAAGAGAGGAAGGTGCAGCCGGGCAAACCTGACACAAACTAGTCGTTTTTTAAGCTGTCAACATTTGCTTCTCAAATACGAGGATCTGATGCTTTTATTTTATATCGTTATGGGAAAAAAAAGCTTCACTCCGCCGCACTGAGAGGTTGCGTCTTATAACGAGTGATTTTCCAAACGGAGAACAAACAGAAGGGGTCTGCGGCACCAGCTCAGGGCAACTAGATGTCCACAAGCAGACGGCTCAGTCTTAAGTGGAAGAGCAGCAGCCCCTCTCCCATTTAGGATAGTGGGCTATTTAGCCTGACAGCCATTAAATATGAATTAAAAACCACACAGGCCTCTTTGCCTTCGAAAATGTCATTACATATCTTTATGGCTGCCGATTGTTGAATAAGCAGTTTGCAGGACTCCCCTGGGGGCAGAGCTGGGGATGGGAAGTGGAGTGGAGTGAAGAGGATGGAGGGAGGGGGAAGTACCGGGATGGTCAGATGAGTGCAGGAGTGAAGGGATAGCAGGATAGGATAGGGGGACATATGGGTGGAGGAGCAAGGAGGAATGAGACGATGAGTGAGGGGATGGGGAGGTGGCTGGGGGGCAGTGTATGGCCACATGTGGATGTGAGACATGGAGGATGGAGAGAGCAAGAGAGGAATAACGAACAGGCAGATCTGATATAACGGATGAGGCCTAATAGCAGCTGAAATGGAATCTACATTACAGGTCCTAACTGAGTGCAGTACTTCAGGGGCCAGGCCCTGAAAGGAGCAAATAATAGCGCTGGCTTGAAGTGGTGCTTCAGTTTCTCTCCAGCAGATGAGGGAGATGTGTAGGGGGGGAAATGAGATTGAAGGGGAAGGGGAGTGCTTCAGAGAGATAGTGGCCTTCTTAGTATTTTCAGGGTTGTTAAAAATGTCTCAAAAGGTCAGTGTGTGCCTGGCGACTCATTTTACTGCTCAGTGTTTATTGCATGGCCAGGAACTGCCAGGCTGTAATTATCCAAATCGTGGTGGCTATTGTTGAATAAATAAAGAGATTACAATTGGGCTTGGTGCATCCTTGAATGTACCCTTTGTCACTTTAATACAGTTAATTTCACTGATATAAGTTTGATCTACCCCCAGACAATACTTGGTTATTTTCACTTATGAGTGTTTATGCTACAGAATGATGCTTCAGATTGTCAAGAGGAGCATAATGTATCTTTATGTTACATTATTATTTTTAGCCAATCAAACTCCTCCTAGCAAAGTGCACTTGCATGATTTGGCTGCAAGGAAAGAGCAGTACAGAAATGCAGTTCAATGATGACTGTCATCCCCCAGTGGACCACTGCTGTTTTCAAGAACGCTCTATAATTTAGCTTCATTTTGCTGCTTTGACATTGTTTTTCATAGAAATGCTGCTCTGCACATCACTTGTCTTGTGTTCTCCTTTGGAAAAAATACATCAGAAACCAAATGAGAAAAATATAGATATTTTATGTCTTTGCACTCCATAGTAGAACCTCTACCTTGGTCAGAATACCATTAGTGGTGCTGACCAAAAATGAACATACAATTTTTTTCTACCAATTACGAGTATGTACTTGGTCTAGTATATATAAGCACCTAGTACCAGAAGCAACAAAGCAACCTCAGAACATCAGTAAACCTTCACCTTGTTTGAGTGGTTAGGGTTTCTGTCTCTGAAGTCTTCATTTTTTTGGTTAACATAGAGTACATGTGATGTACCAAAAAAGCACTAATCTGGTATCATCTGCCCATCGGGCATTCTCCCAGGAGGACTTTGGCTTATCCATGTCTAATTTGGGCATAATGAAAGCAATAATGAAGTTTGATTTGGCATGGGTGTTATGGTGTGGTCACATGACTGGTGCTGTGGTAAACCAGACCACATTATCTTACCGCGATACTTTGGAATAGAGAACACCATGTTCAGTGGTCTGCCCCCAGTATAACACCATTAACAGGTCAGAGTACATTTGACAACATTTAAAAGGTGACAATCCCCCTTTTAAAGTATTTCTCTGGACCTTAGAGTAGAGCAGTATAAACTCCATTTCTATAGACGTTGGACAATATAACTAGAAAATACTCAGTAGCTAATTCATCTTGAGCCAGTGACGTTACTATTAAGAGCCAAACAGCACAAGAACTACACACTGTTTAGGTTTCCAGCCCAAGTCCCACTTTCTTTCACACTACAAACATGAACACATCCTGTTCTACACTTTAGCTTGTTGAACAGACAAACATTAACGTTATCCCAGTGAAATGCGTTGCTAACATCAGTCTACAGGCTAATTAGCTAACTAATTAGCTCCTCAGCATGTAAACTCGCCTATTATTGTATCTTTGGACTATTTAAATCCCGATTAGGTTCTTACTGTTCAACGCCTGTGTCCATGGAAGCTACAACCAAGTATGTTTATTTTTATCAAACTTTGACTCTGGTTCCTGGCGGGGCTTAGCCAGCTACGGTCAATCTCACTCAGACACGCCCCTCAGAATTAAAAAAGTGGGTAATTTCTCTCCTTTTTTTAAATAAATGGATGACTAAAGGTGATTTCAGTTTGTGGCTTGATTTTTCAGTCATCATGAGAACTATCGATTTGAATGATAGCAGAGTTAAAAACATCAATTCTTAAGTGACACAGTTTAATCTAGTTACATTTCTGCAGTTATGATTTCATAATAGAATAGAATGCCGTTCATTGCACGTAACATACAACGAAACGTGGTGTCTCTCCATAAACGAAAACTATATACCATTCACTCCTCCATTCACACCCACACACACACACCTACATATAAAAACTGCAGGTTAAAGTAAATATATATATAAAAAATTACATTTCAAAAAACGGATTTAAAGTTTCACCTGCATATCTGCTTTTAACGTGTAGCGATGGGCAGTGATTGAAGAAGATCTTTTGTCTAATTAAAAGTAATACCACACTGTAGGTGTACTCTGGTACTGCATTGTAAATTTGAATGGCCTATTATAGAAACTGAATATAATGAATTAATGTGTACATCAGTTTAATGTTACAGCTGCAAAAATGTGGTTAATTTTAATTACTTTATGTATAGCTGGGTCCCATGTGAATTTAGTGGATTTTCTAGGGCGATCAATAAGGTCTTACCTTATCTATTATAATACATAGAAACTTTTTTATTGTATTGTGTATTATT